CCCCCCCCCCACCCCACCCCCGGTCCACGGCCTGGAGCCATCAGCCACGGATGCCTTGATGAAAGCAAAGCCCCTGCGTGGCTCACGCAGCCACAGACACTGTAGGGGTGGTTAGCCAGAAGTGTGCTGGGAGGCCTATCTGGAAAGCAAAACCCATCTAGGAAGCTGGCTAGCCGGGCACTCTTGTGTTAGAGCCTGAAAAGCAGTGTTGATCAAGTCGCCAACAAGGTGGGGCCTCCCCCCACTGCCCTCCCCTGCCTGGGGAGACCCACAGCCCCGAGGAGTCCCGGGTTACTGTTGACAGGTGACCTAACCCTCCTCCCGTTTCCTAACAGCCACGCCAGGTCTTCTGGGGTCCCGTCCTCGCGCCCTTCTGGCACAGAGCATCTTCACCGTCTCATCTCATCTCATCTTCACCAGTTTCTTTTGCGTTGAGAAGGCGAGATCTGAGTCGAAATAGCTGGGGTCTAGCTGGCCCAGCTGGCCCTGGAGACCCGAGTGGAACTCCACAGCCCCGTGTGGCCCCCGGCCGATGCTGTGGAGGCTCCTCAGAAGGGAGAAGCCATCGCAGAGGTGCCCCCTTCCCCTTGGGAGCCGCAGAGCCACTCGTTTGTGTCGTGTTAGTGTAATCCCCAGGCCAGTAGGAGGAACTGCTGAGTCCTTTCTCTGTGTGGAGGCACACAGGGGGTCCCCGAGACCACTCACGTGTTTGGTGATTCGCTAGACTCGGAAGGACTCAGCATTGAGTTGTTCTCATGGCTCAGGTTTATTACAGTGAAAGGACACACGATAGCATCAGCAAGACAGAGACGGTCAGGGTCTGGAGGAGCCTGTGCCCAGATTTGAGATCCAATGCCCCCTTCCTCCTGTGAGGGGGCACAGAGCGTGCTCATTCCCCCAGCAACGAAAATGCAGTAACACGTGGACCATGTGTCAGCCCAGGGACGCCCAGGTCAGACTCGGGCCCCAAGATTTTTACTGGGGACTGGTCACGTGGGCATCTGTGCTGAGCTGCCAACCCAAATCCCAGACTTGCAGACGGAAAGCAGGTGTCGTGCACAAATCACCTTGTTTGTGAAGCAGGCACCGGGCCCACCCTTACTGCTCAGGGAGTGGGGCGAGCAACCCCAGTGCCAACTTCCCAGAAGCCAGCCAAGGGCTAACCTTGAAAGTGGGACCTTCTAAAGACAGCAGGCCCAGCTGGGCTGTGTGAGCCCTCTCTGCACAGGAGGGGATGTGGGAGGAGTGGGAAGGGGCTCCAGCACGAGGGGATAAAGCCAGCCGTAGACGTGAGCGCACAGGGGTTGGCTCTTCCCCTTCCCCTCCCTGGGGAACCTCAGTTTTCGCCCAACTAGAATGGGGGCTGTGGTGACGGTCCCTCGGGATAGTAGGCACTCAGCCATCTGCCCTCTGCTGCTGTTGGCAGCATCGGCACAACTTCACTCAAGATTCATTTTCTAGATGGAAAAACTCGTGTTGTAATTGTAGGAAGCTTGGAAAATATGGAAAAGCTGAAAGAAATAATAAAAAAAGTTCGTGATCCCACTTCTCTGAAAGGAAAACTGAACATATTTGTTCAAATGTATTCAGCTGTATTTGAGCGTGTACCTAAGTACAGACATACCTGTTTCCTTTACGTAATGAGAAGCAAACTGTCTGGGATGTTTTATAACCAGCGTTTCTCACTGGATGTTGTAAGTACGCCTCCCTATATCCCTAAATGGTTTTTTGATTATTTTGATTACTCTGGTTACTTAAATGGCTGTAGAATATCCCGCCATAAAAATGCATTGCAGTTGAGTTAGCCAGTCTCCAACCGCTGGACAATTAGTTTACGTCTCTTTTTCTTGCTTCTGGAAGTGGTGTTATGATGAACATGAATCTCTGAGCGCACGTCTGATTAGTTCCTTGAGACGAATGTCTGAAAGTAGAAAAACAGGTTTACTGATCTTAAGAAAAGTATAAATGCTTCTCCTTTCAGAATCCAGAGGAAGCTGAAAGGATGACTCTGCCTGATTTTCTTTTTTTTTTTTTTTTTTTTTTTTTTTTTC